AAGTTCACTTCCAATTCGCTACGAACAAAGTGTCGGACGACATCGCCCCACTCTTTGCCAAACTTCTTCAGTGAGGCCGTTTCCTTCCACCTCCGATTTACTCGTTCTTTTCTAGCTCGGAATTGTTCATTTTTTGTTCGCAGAGGCTCACGAATCGGTCCTGCTCTGTACACTGTGTTGATTGAGACTCCACAAGCCAATGCCGTCAACTGCGCAGTTGAGTTGAAAAGGGTGCCTTGACAAGACTCCCCCAGCTGCCTCCTGAGCTCCTCGAAAAACTCGCGAACATTTCCTATAACACATCTTACTTCTCGACCTAAAGACGGACGTCCAATGGCTCCTTCACGTGTGGGCACGACAACTTCATAAGGTTTTTCCACTGGAGCAGTAAGCACGTCAGGAGTGAGGCTTCGAATGCGATTGCAAAGGTTATTGCAGTTGGGCTAAAAGATAAGCATTCCACTAAACAATATATGATATGATTAAACAGCAAATTGAATTTAAAACTAGTTACAGTCAAGATCAACCCTTTAAAAAGACTTTTTGCAGATAGCAAAAGCAAAATTATCACTTAATTAAGGTCCTCTTCTAATGGGGTACATACGCGTGCCTACAGTCACACGAAATTATCGTTCCTCTCTTGTGGCTGCATAACATCCCGGATGCAAAGGAAGAGATGAGTTCCTTGCTTGTCCTTTGTTTTTTCTAACATATCTTGATTCTTTTTCTTTGTACCCACCATTGCTGGGTTTTCTTGGTAAATGGTCGTGTTTTTAATGTTATTTACGAGAGGTTTAGAACACTCAAGGCCAGTTATTTGATAACTTTTTGTTTGTGTGCCATCTTTGCACAGTTCGACACCAGAGTCACCCTCGTGATGCTCTACTGCCATTGTGGCGAGGAGGTGACTCTGGGTGTCGAAATGCGAAGAACAGCGGAGGTTTATCCTCCAGCAGGGTCTCCCATGCTAAGAAGGAGTTCGACGTTTCCAGTTCCCCGC